GGAACAAACCCTCTACACATTATTACAGTAAAGGTTATCTAAGTCTCACATTGGATGCTCGAGTAAAGGGACTAAAATATTGAGGGTAAATCAATTAAATCCATAATTTGAAATAAACTGTGATAAGTTAATAAAGCATAACACAAACATTCAACTGGAAAGCTAACATATCCACTAACTCAACTTTAAGGTGTGTAATTATAAATGATATTTCTCTTCCCACAGACCAGAGTCCTGCACGGGTCTGATTTTCAAGACCCGCTCCCGCCCCGCACCCGCGACGTGCAATACCGAACCCGCCCCGCTACCCGCACATATTGCCAATTAGTTCCGCAACCCGACCCGACCCGTCGGCACAAGATCCGCAACCCGACCCGAACCCGCATAGCCTATATATGAGCAGTGAAAACGTGCAACTATTAACACACGCAGTTGCATATTTGTCTCAAAAAGCGTGGGATGTTGGTTATTTTCTCCATCTAGGAACCAAAAGCCTCCCAGACGTTGGATTTCGCTCTTGAGGAAGTGTTATTGAAAATGCTGTATTCTCCGCTAGAGAGCTTCACCTCAGCCATTTCGAATGTGGCGCGCTCAGAAGCAGATTGATGCGCTGCAGAGGTTATGATTATGCGCGGTCCCGCGGGGGAGAGGTCTGAGGATTTAAACATTAAACTAAATTATGATTATTTTAATATATTTATTATGCAATACCCGCGACCCGACTCGCATCATCTTTGCTTTACCCAGAACCGAACCCGGAAAAAAGCGTTTGAAAAAATACCACCCGCGAATCACCTTTTTTGCGGGTCACCCGTCGGGTACCCGCGGGACTCTGCCACAGACCATAGATGGGGTGCAAACACTCTGTGCCATGACCTCTATGCGACACAACTGGGTCCACGCAATGTTGAAAAATGTGAGGCGCAGTCCTACCTCTGACGTCACAAGGTCAATAAAGTTGTTAAAGGGTCTCTACTTTTACTAATGTCAAGATATTTTATAGACGTTGGTGCATATGACGTATAGTCAAAACATATTTATTTGTTATTCCTCGCAGCTCCTTTTCAGAGCAGAAAACTCCCCTAAAATCACAGCTTCCAGACTCAGCCGAGGGCCCGGAGAGAGCTGAACACCCCGAGCCCAGCAGCAGCGACTGTGCAGAGGACACACAGGAGCAGCAGAAACATCAGGAGCCCAGCCTGCAGCCGGAGGCAGAGCGGCGTTCTGCTGATGGAAGCTCTGCATCGCCTGCCATCTCCTCCTCTCATCTGGCCTCCCCCATCTCACCCTCCGCCTCCTCCGCTCCGTCTCCCATCATTCCTCCTGGGCAGGTGGTGGAAGGTAAAGGTGCTTCCCCTCTACGTTTATATTATATTCATATTTGTTCTAGTCAAGTTCATACGAAAAGCTTGTTGTGCTGTTGCTGTTAAGTCAATGAGAGCAATTTGGACAATATTGGCTACTATTTCATCATCGTTATAACACATAATAATGTACATTTAGAGGTTATAGGTGTTTCCAGTCTTCATTATTATAATACAAATATATATTTTCTAGTAAAGTAGATAAAATTAAACTTTTATTGTAAATAATGAATACATTTTTCTCTACTTGAGTGTTGGATTATAATCTATTGGAGTCAATGATGGCAATTTGCCCGATACTCTATCTGCTACAATTTGTAATAATAAATATATATATCTTAAAGTACATATAATAATAACACATATTAATATAACTGTTCCTTTATTGGCCGATGATTCAATTTCCCCCAATATATTATACAAAACGACTTCATATTGTTTCATTTTATATCAAAAGTACTACCTGTGCCTCAGGTGTGACCGGTGCGTCTTCGTGTGTTGAGGGAAGAGCCGGCTCTACTTCCACAACAATGCAGTCAAATACTGAGAGCACAAAGGAGAAGGAGAAGCAGCAAACTGCGCCACTTGTCATAGAGGTGATATTCTAAATAAAAACCGATGATAAAAACTACAATAGTTACTCTTTATACATGAATAATGAGTATGTGTGTAAAAAAAACAATAGCTTGAAGCATGTTCACCTGAATAAATCAAAGCATGCTAGTTAGTGTGACAGCTTTCTTAATATGTTCTCTACAGCTGGAGCAAACACAGAGGGAACTCTCTCGACTGCGGCAGTTAAACAGGAATCTGCGGGATGAGGTGCAACAAGAGAGAGCGAGGCATGCAAGTGAAATGGTATAACATTCATACATTTTCACTTTAAGTAGCAATAAGTTTGAAGGGGATGCACTAATGTAATTTGCCATATTGCGAAAAACACACATTGCTCTGTAAAAAAGGCAAGCTAGGATGCCAGATAATTTGAAAGTTAAACCCTAGAAGTTAAAGTGGACCTATCATGCTATATTTGAATAATATATTGTAGGGCCATACCTATATAAAACATGTCTGTGAAGTTTTTTTTTCAAAATACCAAACAGATCATGCATTTTAGCCATGCCTCATTTCGCTCTATTTGCTCTATTCCAGCCCTGCCTTCACAAGGGCTGATTCTGTGGCAAATGAGCTGCAGCTGACCACGCCCCCCTGCAAAGGAGGGGGACGAGGCACGAGCATGCTGTTACCATGCTGTTACCATGCCACGCAACCTCTCATTCCCCTGATAGGTAGAGAGTTGCCCATATAGGCGGAGCTCCTTGTTTCTGACGTCAGAGATATTTCAAATCTGTATCAGTCTGTATCAGATCCATTGCAGCCCCGTTTTTAGAGATTTGGGGTATGGAGGAAAAGAGACAGGGTTGTGTTTTCTGACACTTGGTGAGTTCCCTGACACACCGGGGACACATATTCATGTATAAAAGACGTACAAAAGTGCATTTTGCATGATAGGTCCCCTTTAAGTTACTTGTCCATAAGCATGAAAGCACAGTTGACACTAACACTGCTCACTTTGTTCCGCAGAACGACCTCCTCTCAAACTCCAACTCGTCTTCAGAACAAGCTTTGGTTTTACAGCGTCTTCATAAGATGAACCACGACCTGCGCCTTGAGCTGGAGGATCAGAAGAGCAAAGAGAAAACAGAGCAACATCTGCACAGAGTCAGAAGAGGCTTACCTGAAAGAAACACACGAGGTAACACACACTTTTGCCGTACTTCAGGAAACAAACACAAGGTGCTGAGATGCTGAGGTGCAATGCCTATTAGTTCTTTATAGTATATTAAATATTCAATTCAATCAATCCCTAATGAAATAAAGGTTTAGAGTATACAATCCCAAAACACACACAACCTCTCTACACTATTATAATCTCACAAATGTTCTACTAAATAATCAATACAGAACTTCTAAATACAAAACAAGCATTATGCATCAATACAGGACGTCTTTGTTGCTGCACATACAAACATAACATTTATTGGGTCTATTAGTTCTTTATTGTATATTTATTGAAATCAAAATGAACAAATCACAGCTGAAAAAATAGTTTACAGTAAGAGTATGAAACACACGCACACATACCATGTATTAGGGATGCTCTGATCGATCGGTCACCGATCGATATCGGCCGATACTCACTCTCTACCGATCGATCGGTGCTCTCTAAACATGCCGATCGCGAGTGCCGATCGCATGACGTAAAATACATGACACATTTCTCTGTGTGCGGCAAAACAAGCTCGCCAAAATGGCTTCACCGGTCTGGCATTATTTTAAGGTGTCCGAAAAAGACAGTAAAATAGCGGTATGCAACGTGTGTGAAGCAGAAATCCTGCAGCTCCGCCCGCCGGACAGGTAAGCGCAGCGAAACACACACACAGGGAGAACCAGACCGCAGTTCATTTCCTCATATTCCAAACGAGAAATTACGGTAGCAAATCACCCGGTTCTTTACGACCAGAACTATTAACGGGATACAAACCGGAGGAACCAGGCATGGAGGGAGGTGGCAGAGACAGTGGGTGAAACTGTTACGTTTTCGCCTGTTTGGGGAGTTTATATATATATATATTGCTCGCATAAAATCCCCGGGGTTTTTTGCTTTGTATGTCGGGGGCGGGAGATTCATGTGATTGGTTGTTGGTCGCGTTGCTCGCAAAAAATCCCCAAGCTTTCAGACACGCCCAGCTTCAAGATTTTCAAGATTTTTGAAAAGCTGCTGTGTGGACGTACCGTAAGAGTTAGATCTAACACACTTAGCTATTTTATCTACCTCTGGAACAAGCTAAACTAGTTATTATAAATATATTTATTCTTCATTGTCGGGTCACTCATTACTGAATCAGTGAGCTGCATGAGATACTGACAGGCTGTCAGGAGAGGGAGAGAGGGGGGAGAGAGAGAGGGAGAGAGGAAAAGAGAGCGCTTCCGCTAATTTCTCCCGTGTTATTATCCAAAGTGAATGTAAACTTGAATAATGTACATCATTTGAATGTAATAATTAAGTTGATTGTTGTTTGTGGAAGCTCCAGTGAATGAGCCCCATTAACTGAGTTTTAAACATCACTTTAAATGGAAGATTTAAAGTGATGTTTAAATCTTCCATTTAGGCCCCGCCCACTCGATCGGATCGGCGATCGGTATCGGCCGATACTGATTCCGGCGATCGGTGATCGGTGATCGGCCCCGAAATTGGCGATCGGAGCATCCCTACCATGTATACATCACTTCGGGGGACATTACATTGACTTACATGCATTTCCTGGAGACTTGTCCTAACCTTAACCATAACCAACACATGCCTAACCCTACCCCTAACCAAGTCTTCACCCTAAAATTAATGATTCCCCTCATGGGGACCTCCATTTTGTCCCCATAAGGGAGGCGAGTCCCCACACGTGACTGTGTAAACAGATTTAGGTAATGCTAGGCCACACACACACAGATTTATGAGAATCCCTTTTTTTCCCCTTCTGTATAGCAAGTTATATTTTAACACACACACGACTACTGCACATACATTACCTAAGTACTACCTTATCAATACTGAACCTTTTCTCAATGTAAATACAGGCGACCTGTGATCAGGGCTTCGCTGCTATGGAGGAGATGCACCGGCAGCTGATCTCAGACCTGCAGAAGCAGCATCAGACAGAGATGGCAGCGCTGCTGAAGCAGAGAGACAAGCTGCTGCAGGAAGAGACCGCCGCCACCATGGCAGGTGAGGGTCTTCAGCAGGAAGTCAAACAACAGGAAAAGCATTGAGGCCTGTTGAGTCAATGCAAACTCTTTACGGTTCTTTCTTTTCAATATCGGAAGCATTTGTAGAAGTTGTAACAGTGTTTAGTTGATCATTGGGAAGTAACTAATTTACTCAAGTACTATACAATGTTGAGATACTTGTACTTTAGTTGAGTATTTCCATGTTATGTTACTTCCTACTTCTACTCCATACAATTCAGAGGTAAATACTGTACTTTTACTCCACTACATTTATTTTGTACCTTTAGTTACTCTGTATATTTGGATTAATTATGTGAAATGTAAAGAACTCTTCAATAAGACTTAAGTTGCACCTGGAGTAACATTCACAAGCTGCAGTATACAGAGTCATTCAAACTAGCTGCACCTTTACCAGCTTTGAGAACACTTTAATGCATCAACAATTATAATAATATAACATATTATATATAGTATTCTGAAATGGACATATTTGCATAATAAGTACTTTTACTTTTGGCACTTAAAGTATATTCTGATGCTAATATTTGTGTAATTTAACTTGAGTAACATTTTTAATGCAGGACTTTTACTTGTAACAGAGTATTCCTACTCTCTGGTACTTTTACTCATGAAGTACAAGATGTGAGTGCTTCTCCCACCTCTTGTTGATGCACATTTCACCTCGTTCTACAGCTATTGTAGCGATGAGAAGAGCCCATAAAGTGGAGCTGGAGAAAAGCCGGCAGTCTCAGCACATCAAGAAGAGCGCTGACATCACTCAACTGCAAAATGAATATGAGTAAGTGGCTGCTTTTCCTTTTACTGCGTTTTTGTTATTTCTCTTACAATTAATCTCCTAAGAAACAGTAGCATACATCTCACTCTGTCACTGCAGCTTTTATTGCAGCAGGGCTACTGGTTCATGGTGTATTTAGTGATGAACGAGCCTGTGTCACTGACTGCTGTCCGTGGTGCTGATACCTGCATAGTGACACACACAAGAGCTATTTCAGAATGTAACACAAGGCCATTTCAACCAAATCGACCTCTAATTCTTTAAAAGATTATTTTCTGAATCTATAGTCACTTTACTGTTCAACATCATGCCTCTGCAGAAAGGAGTTTCAGTTGATGCATAAGGAGCTCGAGGTGCTGTCGGTGCAACACACTCAGAAATGTCTGGAACACTCTCAGCTGAGCCAGGAGCTGCAGGAGGAGAGGCAGTCCTCCATTCAGTACCAGAAACAAAACAAGGAGCTGAAAAAGAAACAGGTATCAACATGTTCTTAGCCCCAAGGGACGCTCCTTATTCTTCCTTTTTATTCAATTAAGATCCTCATTTTAACATTGAGAGAATGTGTTGTATTCACCGTCTCCTGTCTCCTGACATTTCTTACAGAGGGAGACAGATGAAATGTCTCAGCTGCATTTCTCACTGAATGGGAAACAGTCCCAGGTCGGCCCTCAAGTCAACGACTTCTATGAAATGGAGGTGAGTGTCTGGAAAACAGAGAGTACAGCCTTTATTTCACCCAATTCATAATCATAAAAAAGAAGAAGTAAGCAGTGATTCTGTTTTTGTTTTTAAAGGTCCCATGTCATGGCCATTTCTACTGATCATAATTCCATTGTTGAGGTCTACTAAAATAGATTTATATTGTGCAATTTTCCAAACTCACATTGGTTTCTCATACAGCATCTCTGCATAGTATGTGTATTCACTCTCTGTCCTAATCGACTTGTTGGAGCTCCTGCCCCCCCTCTCCCTATGAGCCCAGTGGCCGTCTGCGAGACAGCGAAACCCAGCCCGAACACACACACACACCCGCAGCCTAGCCTCGCCGCGTCCCGCCGTCAGGGAGGAGAAATCGGCAGAGCTGCAGCTGAGAAAAGATTGTGTATTTGAGGAAGTCCGTGGATTGGTCAATTTGGACCAATCCACGGACTTAACGTAACGGCTCCGTGGACGTAACGTAACGGCTACACGGATTGGTCCATTTGGGTATGGGCACGTCACTGTACCCAGGAAGAAAAAGAGAAATCTCCAACGAGGCGTTCTGGGGCAGCATAGACACATATTTTCTGTGTTAGAGTTTTACTCGCTACAGGGTGTACTTTGAGGGTTTGTGACTCTGCAGACCGTTTACATGCAGAAAAACCTTCATAACAAACAAGGGGACGGGTAATAACCGGAAAAGCATGACATGGGACCTTTAATGATTAACTTTTATTTGTGTGTAATGGTACAAGAGCTTTGTATATGGCCTCACTGATCCATAACTTGAGTTGTTGTTTTATTGTTATCTGTCATTTATCCAACCTGTACAAAATGTAAACGTATGTTAATTTCCCATACCATTACACTGTACACAACATATCAATTATAGCATGTTCTGTATGTTTCAGGTGATCCTGAGGGCGAGGGAGGCAGAAATGCAGTTTCTCAGACAGGAAGCTCGTTCTCTTAAGGAAGAGTTGAAGCTCGCTCGAATGGTAACGATATCTCTTTCAACTTTATATCCTATAATCTTGCTAGATCATAAAACCATTTTGCATTAAAACAGCATAATGAATTCAACTTCCTAAAGGGAGCTGCATACAATTCCATAGGCTAACACTCAAACACATTGTACGGTGGTAAGTTAATGGGCGGGACTAACCTAAGCGGTTGACCAATCACAACAGAGCCGGCCAGCTAACCAATCAGGCAGTATGAGACAAATAAATACCTTTTTGAACATTAAAGCATGGAGACATGTCACAGCCATAGACTGTATATGGTCACAGCAGAGGCACAACATACAAATACGAACAATAAGCATGATAGGACCCCTTTAACATGAAAATAGCAACTGTTCAGAAATTAAAAATAAATCTGAATTCTGATTAATTATTTAAGCTCGTGTGTGTGTGTGTGTGTGTGTGTGTGTGTGTGTGTGTGTGTGTGTGTGTGTGTGTGTGTGTGTGTGTGTGTGTGTGTGTGTGTGTGTGTGTGTGTGTGTGTGTGTGTGTGTGTGTGTGTGTGTGTGTGTGTGTGTGTGTGTGTGTGTGTGTGTGTGTGTGTGTGTGTGTGTGTGTGTGTGCAACAGGACAAAATATACGCCCAGAACAAGCTCAAGGCCCTCCATACGACCAGCCTGGATGAACCACACCAAGATGTCACTTGGTCAAACCGAGACGCCTCAGGACAGAGCCTCAGTGAGACTCACTTTATTTTGTGTACATTGTTAAATTTAAAGACAACTTGTGAGATGTCTACTTACACATTAAACATTGCTTCTGTTAGTTATTAAACAGGGCTAGTCAGGATGATAAACATTGTACCCTCTTGTTTTCTCAGAAGACAATGGGACAAACACAAGTAATGCTGCTTTTCTGAAGAAGAAAGATAAATCCTCCCTCACACGTCAGATCAGAGGAGTCCGATCAAAGGTACAATGTGACTTTTGATAAATGCAACATTTATTTTTCATATCAACAACTTTGAACCTCTCACCTCACAATGACGTCCTTAAACTGTACTAACAAGTGATGTCAAACTTTGACTCTTTCTTTTCTTTTCTTTGGCTTGCAGAGTTTAAAAGAAGGTCTTTCTATCCAAGAAAGAATGAAGTTGTTTGACCACACTGGCTTTTCTAGATGACCATTTTTAAGATTGATATCAAATATTAAAGGAATCACAAAAATATATATTTTATGTTGGTCCTATTACAGTGCACAGTGCAACGTATAGACACAATATCTGTGTTTTTATTGATATTATTCAGTGTATTGCATCGTTTTTGTAAAAACTGTAGTTACCATGTTGTACCACTAGATGGAGCAAAACACAACGAGCAGAGGACCCTTCTGAAACGGAAACTGTTTATGACCATTTTTTGAGCAGCAAATTAATTAATGAGACCTATTTATTAGCATATTTATTAAACATTAGTCACGGTGAATTCCAATGTTGTATCCTGGTATCATTTTGTTATGTAAAGACAGACAATAAAGTATTTCTCTGTTTATTAAAATACTTTGGTTATGTTTCCCTATTTCCCTGAGAGTCTAAAAATAACTCTTTAATTTAATCTCAATGTATCTTTCCTCTGTACCACGGTGATATCAGGGTCTTTCATCTCTATAATAAAATCAGTATCGCTCATTTTTAATCCAAAAGCAGATTAAATATCACCTTTTAATGTTCCAACATATTAATAATAATACTCTCATTATAATTATTCATATGAATAAATAAGCAATTTATTTCATTTTAAAATGTGTTTTAATAATACCAATAATTACAATTATTATTATTATTATTATTATTACAAAATGTACTCTTACAATCAAAATAATAAAGTAATAAATCAAATACATGTTTCACCTGTTTCAACATTTGATTAGAAACCATTTTAATTTTTATATCTGTTCTGTTTTAAACACAAGATAAATACTAAGACAAAAAATTAACAAAACGTTTTTATAAAAACAAACATAATAATAATAATGATGATGATAATATGAAATAGGCCATTGTGTTATATATATATATATATTGGAGGACAGTGTGAAGCCTGGATGTCTGGGAATGTAACACTACTGCAGCTTTGCTTAGCATGCAGTGACAGTGTGTGTGTCAGTGTAAGTGTGACATTACTAACCTGCAGCTCTCAGGACTGGAGCCCAGCAGCAGTGCATGAGGAGGAAGCAGGAAAACACTGATGTCTGCTCTCTCTGGGGACTGAACACACACATCTGTAAGTGTAGCATCAGGTCTGCTCAGAACCTGAGGGTGATATCACACTTCAGTCTCCAACATCAGATCGGACGTCACACAGGAGGAGGAGAGTCAGGGTGAGGACTCATAGATACAAACCATTGTGTGTGTTATTAACCACCATCACTGAACATGCTGTTGACATTAAGTGCCTCCAGTTACTCTGAGATACACAGGTTGCCTCAGGTGACCCCTAATACATGTGAAAGTAGATTCATCCAGTTAGAGATTTTATAAGTGTGATTTCTTACTCTATTTTAACCTGTCCATCTGTATTCTATGTGATGACAGATCCATAACATTGCATGTCTGTATATCCAGCGATCTGATGTCTATGTAAATTCAGAATCACATCTCTTAGTGTCCTTGCAGAAGAGCTAATATGCTCCTTGGAGTCGTATTGCTTTAGAGGAACATTGCACCTCATTAAAACCCAACACTCATCATCTCTTCCCTGCCACTCCCGAGTGTGAACCTGCAGTCATGTCAGCTGACGCTTTGAGAGAGCTGTTTCTTAATCACGGATATATTTCTGCACCTGTGAGATTTTCTTTGGATGCTGTGCCATTCAAAATGACGTAAACGCAATTTCTGCACTTGTTTCCTGAAATAAACATGTTTTTCACATCAGGCAGGTAAGATTTTTTCATCCTACGACACCTTGAGAATGTAAAACTAAAACCTGCAAGTGGAGTTCATTTGTTCAAGTTGTAAATGATAACAATAAATACATAATAATGTGAATTCATGTTCATTCTTGATAAATAGAAATAGACCACAGGTCACATCTGACCCTGAATAACTGGGATTGGCCTTTTTTAAATAATTAGTTATAGACATATCCATTAGTCAATCGGAAACATCTGATAATAAATTGACAATTTATGTATTTATTTGCAGTGGACCCTGAGATGACATTATTTTTGTGATTTGTATAATTTAGCAAAATAGATTTTAACTTGTTCGCGTTTAAATTATTACATTTAGGAACTTCTTTTGGAAAGAAATCCACTTTATAATTTTCTTATAAATGTATATTTTCTGTCAGACTTAATCTTCCTCATGGTTAACTGAATTGAATAGAGAACAAATTTAACTTAAATCTGTGACACAAAATATAACTTGCTATACAGCATATATATGTGTGTGTGTGTGGCCTAGCATTACTATACTTGTGGGGACCTAAATCTGTTCACACAGTCACGTGTGGGGACTCGCCTCCCTTATGGGGACAAATTGGAGGTCCCCATAAGGGGAATCATTAATTTTAGGGTGAAGACTTGGTTAGGGTTAGGATTAGGGTTAGGGTAAGGGTTAGGCATGTGTTGGTTATGGTTAAGGTTAGGATAAGTCTCCAGGAAATGCATGTAAGTCAATGTAATGTCCCCTGAAGTGATACATGTATGTATGTATACAAGTATACATGGTATGTGTGGGTGGGTGTGCACCTGCAGGTCGAGCTGCCCCACAAACGGTCCAGGTTGTAATGACTGATCAGCGGCTGATGTAGAAACACCATTACACAGGTGCACCTGCTCACGCTGTAAAAATAAGTGGCCCATTTCGACATGCAAAGATCAATTACTGCAACACACAGAGGCACAGCCTGCTTCCCCGATGATGCCTTTATTTCCTCTCCTCTCTTTCCTCTAACATGTGACACAAGTTCATGTCTGTGTTTTAAAATACTGTGTAGAGAAAAAGGCTGCATGGGCTCACCAATTTGTTTCGGATCATAGTTTAACAAGGCGTTTTAACCAATTCAAAAAAAAATGTAACCTACAATTTACCAGAGTTTCCATGACAATAGATAGATCCTTAGACAAATACCAATTTGGCATCAATTCGAGTTTGGCAACACCAGCCTCAGCATGGAGGACGATCAGGGTCATTTATATTTGAGGAAGCACATTTAAAAAAGCATGTCAGAAACGTATAAAGAAAGTTCTCTTGATGCAGAAACTGATGTTAGGATGTGAAGCATATTCCTATCAGATATAGATGCCTTAAAAATCCTAAACAATAATACAGATTGTGACTTTTCCACAACGTTAAACTTCTAGTAAACTTTACAAATAACTTTTACGTTGTGTAAGGAAAAACAAACTTCACTTCTCAATTGTATGCAATATACAGCTTTTGAGTGAATCAGGTTGCCTCACAGTGAGAGAGACCTGGAATTCAACCTGCAGTTTTTTGTGTGGAGCTAGCATGACCTCCCTGTGTTTTATCAAAAGGTGAGAGCACTTTGTTATGATGAGGCAGGATGTTGAATAGGCTGGTCTGGCACACACTCCCTAACTGGAGCAGGGAGGTTAGTGAACATCTCCCTAAAAAAGTACTGTGTCTTATGTATGCGCAGCATTTCTATCTGATGGGTGGGAGCACAACGCCTCTCTTCCCCACTCAGGTTACTTTTGTCGATGTTGGCTGCCAACAGCGATATGAATTTCACTCAGGCGATACAGTATCTTCATATTTCAAGTGTTATCTCTCCTTCCTTGTGATCACTGCTGTGTTGCAGGAGGATTTGGCAATAGAAGTACATACGCTAACTGTGATTTAACTCCTAACAGTCAGAGATAAGGTAAAAACAGTAAGACTGTTAAACACCTGAACTTTTGAAACATCCATAACATTCATCTGGCTGCAACTTAGAAATTATTTATCTAATATATCATATTCCAATCACTTGTATATAGACTCTTATTGGTCTTATTGCACTATTTCACTCTTTCACTATTTTAAAAATGTTTACTTATTTACTTGCACTATCTTTTCTGTTTTTCTGTTTTATTGTGTTACACTGTTGGAGGAGCCTGTGACCTACGATTTTCATCGTCATAACTACACTGTAGCTATATTCATATACATATAGTGTGACTGATAAAAGCCTTGACCCTTGAACTATCCATATATAAAAAAACAGTCGGCAGGATTTGCAATAAATGAGATCACTTGACAAAACAGACGGTTACACAGTTTTTTAATTGGAGTGCCTGCCATGCTCCTAATCCTGAGTGTGCTGCCAGTTATGCTGTACTTTGAGTAAACATCATGTGTCTTATGTGTACCGCACAGGGATAAGTGCAACAGGAAATACACTCAATATGAAACAGGAGAGTTTGTGCTGAAAGGTCCTGAGCCTGGCCCACTTTATGCTGCCGCAGTCAGGCGGCCTTTAAATAACTCGCTGGTATCGGCCGGGCTCTCTCTGTCCCTAAAGCACACTACACATCCGCATCTGGTATGCTGTCTCATGACTGAACCCATAACCCATATACAGGCCTGTAGTAGTAACAGTACAGTAACATTAACACAGTGTGGAAGTACAGTAGAGCTACAACTCACACACAGGAGCACAAGTCTATTATTTTACTCAATGAAAGTCTGCTTTGTCTGCTCAAAAGATTTCGTTTATTCTGTTATGTAAAAAAAAAAAAATTCCTTACAAGAGTGTAAAACATTTGTAATGTGTGGCTTTAGGTAAATGTGTAATCCTGAAAATATATGAAAAGGCAAGGCAAGTTTATTTATATAGCACATTTCAACACAAGGCAATTCAAAGTGCTTTGAAAAAAAGTAAAAAGAAAAAGCTTTGGGCGTACTGAAAATACTTACTGCTCCAGTGAACATGATCCAACAGGGCTGACAAAGGTCAAACATTATTTCCGATTAGAATAAGAAAACTGATACACACACTGGGTTAGCTTCTTTGGAGGCCGTCATGTTGCTGTCACACACACCTTCCACTCATCTCTGCCCTGCGCTGGCCTCTAGTGAATCTGCATCAGACCTACTGATCCGGTTTCTGTCCTGTAAAATAATCATAAACTCCCGGGCAGAGCAGTGTGGCGGTGGGTTGTTAAAAACCAGCATGAGATGTGGTTGCTTGCACAGAGCATATACATTTTAATCTGATATGTGTGGAAAATAATTGTGTTTTTAACACTTTAATGCAGACATAAATATCTCAACAACTGTCGGATGGATTACGATGACATTTTTATCGTGGTCCCTGGAGTCCTTTGACTTTTTTCAGAGGAAATGCCACTATGAGGTTCAAATTCATAGCCTACATAAGACAAACCCTTATAGAGTGGTGCAGGGACGACGTATTTTTGTAAACCAACCCAGATGTCAGCATCGCAAGGGCTCCCTTTACAAAAAGCAATCCATTGGACGTTGGTATATTGCAGAGAAGTGAGCTCTCTTGCAAACACACATATATAATACTTAGGATATTCTAAACTCATGAACACCACTTTATGATTTTATTAATAAACCCCGAGCCTGTTTTTCAGGTTTCAGGCTCGAAAATGACATTCCCAGAACAAATGACCATATCTTCCCTTCTAAAAGGGTTAAATTAATAATCTTTTTTCTCAAAGTAATGATAAACCTGTGAGTTGGATGTAGAAAAGTCAGATTCAATATAGATGTTTTTTATTTTAAAGAAAATTCAGATTGAACATGGTAAAAAACTGTAAATTATAGTGTCCGTCCAAAAAATATTTTGTACTTATAGTGAAAAGTAACTAACCTTGGATGATGGGTTAGTAGACTAAAAGCTTTAGGAATCCAAAGTACAACATATAATATGTACCCTGTATCAAGATTGATGCAAAACAAGTGATATTTGACCTTTTTATTTAGCAAAAAAAAAACCTCTTCTGGGGCCATTTGGGTGGATTTTCCATATCTCTGGCCCACCTTGCTGGATTTTGACATGTGACATCTGTTTCTGACCGTCAGAGCCAATGGAATCGAGGGGAACTCCCACATAGTCCTTATTTGGTAATGTGTGTGTGTGAGACTGCCACATAGCCTAGACCGGAAGCAGCCACTCTGGTGGCTACCATTAGCAGCTAACGTTTGCTCTCTGATTTTTACATAAAAATTGAATTATGGATTATAAATTAAAGAATTTTTTTATACAGAGATGTTAAAAACCTATGGATTAACCGATTCAGCCGCGTTTTTTCTGGTTTTAATGCCATTGAACACGTCTTTTGATCAGATTGACAGCTACGGTGAGACGATCTCCCTAGAAGCTCCGTAAAGGTACGTGTTGTGATGTCTGTATTTGCTTCCCCTGTCGCGAGTCCGGATCACTCAGTGATGATACTATATACTTAAATAATCTGTAGAACCTCAGCTTTAATCGGATATCTTGTATGTGCAGCTACGATAAGTAATAAGGCTACTTTTATCTTGAGTTCTGTGCCAATGTCCGTTAGCATTTTTCGCTAAGGGGTCATTTAGATGCTTCTTATGAGACTTGTGTTTTGTTTTGGTAAAAATGGTTTGTGTCGTCAGTTAGCTGAGATTATTCCCGTTAATCTGGTATAACACATTAATAGGTTCTTAAATATTAAGATCCCCTGAGACCAGTGGCGGTTCTAGAACATTTTACATGGGGTGGCAAAGGGGGGGGCAAGAGGTCATGCCAGGGTGGCATGGGAGGGCGGACAGTACGTGGTATTTTACACTGTATATAACCTATTTATTGTTAATTCATGCCCTAACACAAGTGTTCTTAATGCACAAAAGAAACAAGGTGTTCAGACAAACAATCGGGTGCCCTTTGAGTCCCCCAAGCTTACTTCAATAATTTTGAATGAAAGGAAACTACAAAATGTATTTTAAAGCAATTAATTAATGGAACAGGTTGTTTTGCATTACAAAAAATGTGTTGTCTTAGTATTAGACAGACATATTTGCATGTGCTCACCAAGCATTATTACATATTAATTTAATATTAAACAAATCAAAATTATTCCAAAAATGTTGCTGCTAATATAATCATATGCTTGTCAACTTTAACTGATCAAAAATAAATTCTGAAAAAATACTTGAATTATCTATGAAATTGCAATATTGACACACGTCCCTCAGTTTGTTTCAACCCTGTCACGCCATACCATTTACCCTCCTATTAAAATAATGGATCAGTCCATGTGTGATATGCATTGAGGGAATTACATCACAAAAGTGTCAATTTCTTCTCTAACCTATATTTCAGTTTTTGTATTTTCAGATTAAGATTGACAAGCTCAACATTTCAACTCTGTTATATGAATTAATAATAGTAAATAATTGTTTATTACAAAATAAACAATAGTTTTGCAAAATATTACAATTTTGGTGCCATATCTTAGCTAAACAAGGTATCATGGCTACTTTTTGTCAAAAACTTCAACCCTGTTAAATTTTTTCAAGTAAATTCCTAGTAATTATTTATATTTTGTGCCTGAGGTGGGAAAATGTAAGTAGTCCACTACCAGATGTTATGACCAAACATTTTGGTTTCATTTTTCAAAGATATAAAGACCCAAAAGGCACCCGATTCAGAGAATACTCTAATTCTGCATACTGTAAGTACTTAGTTATAATTAAGTACACAAATGACATGACCCATCTCTTCAGAGAGCTTCAGGTGACCTGTGCAGCAACACATTTCAATCAATAATTGTCAATACTAAGAGCTGCTAGATTGTGCTGCTGTAATGGAATATGTAAGGAGAATAAGAACATACCATGTGGTCCAGCTGGAGTTTCATCTGCCTCCTGATCCCTGCCTCTGGCCCTCTTTCTGATACTTCATCTTTATTCCTCACATATATTTCTTCTTCTTCACTAATGTCTTCATCTCCTCCTCTTCCTCCTGCTCTGACCCTCCTGGTCTCTTCAGTGAACTCTCTTTTCCTTTTCCTCTTTCTGTTCGTCCTGATCACTTCTCATATGTCTTTTTGTTGTTGTTGAATCACTCCTATACTCTGGCCTGCAAGAGTCTACTTGTGAAAAGCACTGGTACAAATGCTTGTATAACTTTACACGTTAGGGCCATGTAGCCTAGCTAATATGTAGCATATCATCAGAAAGTATTTATCAAACGCACACAGGCAGCTGTGTTTAGATCCAGTTTTTACGGTAAAGGATGTATCCTGGTTTCATTGATCTGGCCTCATGGCTGTGATGTGTAGTTTACGTGGATTTAATAGTAGGCTACCGCATAGTTTAGCAAAGTGATCGATCTCCCAGCTAACGCTGTCTGCGTAGTATTTTGTAACGTAACGCCCCAAACAGCGCCCATCTGTTAAACGCTATCGATTCAAACGGCAGCGTTTTATTAATATTTAGTTTCAAGCTCTCGTCCTTAGTAAAAACAAAACTAGTGGAAGGGGAAATGCTCCCAGGGGTAGCTGACCCATAGGCGCTGGGACGGCTCGCTCCCTCTCTGCAGCTCTGTGAGCCGCGGTCTGTGTGAACGCCGCTCCGCAGTTTAATGCAGGGCCGTAGCTGCGTTTTTAACAGGCCTAAAATGATATTTAAAATGATTCACTTTTAACTAATGTAATGCTTGTTTCGTTGCTTGAGAAGCTTGTGGAAATAGTGTAGGTTTGTTTTAGTACAGTTTTAGGGAAAAAAAAGTTAGGGGGGCAGCTGGGGGGGCAAGGCTCTACAGTGGGGGGGCAGCTGCCCCTGCCTGAGACACAGTGTCGTGAAAAAAAAAAACAGGGTCCCCGCCGACGGGGACCTTGGGGTTTAACAAGTTAAGCGTTCAATCAGCAGAAGTAAAAGCTATGCTAAAGGCTATAAACAAACTGCATCATGGCAGCATGACTTCACATCACCACCGCTAAGCTAAAGGCGGACTCATGTCATCGTAAGGACGTTTAGTAGTTTAATTAGTCACTTGTTCGCAACAACAGTTTTTAAGACATAGAAGTTTCTGATATTCACAAGTGGGGTATTTACTGACTGGTGTAGAACAAAATACGAAAATCTCTTCTGCTTGTGTGAATCTCAGACCTTATTTCCGATCTATGTAACTACAAACACGTAAAAAGAAACGATGACTTAGAGTGACTTAGATGACTTAGAGTCAAGGAAACAGGAAATGGTCAAATGTTAAATCATTTCTAAATCATCTATTTGGCAGATTGACCCAACATTTTGTACAGACCTTCATGGTCCCAAGACAATGTATCCTAATTACTTTTTAACTGTCGGCCTCATTTATTCAAAAGATCAGTTTGTGTTGTTGCCACCAACCTCAGCTGCTCTTTAAGTTTAGTACATATATGCAGTTAACATGGCTCATGGAAATTAACATTACACCTGCTCAACACCAGCGTGCATTTAGCTGAAAGCCCGCTGAGCCTAAGTACAGTCTCACACAGCTGCTAGCATGTATACGTTCTGTTTTACAACTATAATCAAGTCAAACTGCTTATTTGCCCTGTGTTACACAAGTTATTTTTGACTAATTTTGTTCTTTATCCAGACACACACACACACACACACACACACACACACACACACACACACACACACACACACACACACACACACACACACACACACACACACACACACACACACACACACACACACACACACACACACACACACACACACACACATAAGCAAGGAACTGCCTGAATGGTCTATTCAAATTGTTGAAGCGTGTTGAACATGAGCTGCTTTGCTTTCAGAATAATAAATGAAGACCACACCACCCACTCAGTGGTCTGTTGGGTTTTGTTAAAATCAAGACAAAAATGCAGACGATTAAATGTGGGATTTACTTCTCTATTTATAAAGATGCCAACAACACTAATCCAGATGTGCATCTTTTATTCTGGCTTTCCCCTAAGAAGGAGAGGTTTTAAAGGTATATTACTCCACACAACATTGATGTCTTTACAACAATACTTTCACAAAATAATATATATTAAATAAAATATATAATCTAGGAAGCATCATTATGATTATTATATTATTACACAACACAACCCAGAGAAATCAATTTCAAGTGTGTTTGTCCTGGTTATTTCTGGTCCTTTCTAGTACACATCAGTCCTAAATAAAGAAGTTGTTTCTTTTAACACAGAGTGTTGCTGACCAGCACGGGTGCAACACTTGGGAGAGGAAGAGCATGTAGTCTCCAAATGCCAAGTATCTACAGTGACACCGTGAGAGGGAGGGGAGGACGAGAGCTGAGCCGTGAGCAATAGTTCACTGGATGTGGGATTCAGAGTGGGATCTGCAGCAGAAGAAGATCAGATAGCAGATATCCCAAGAAAGTGTCAGACTCTTGACCGCCCATGACTCTAAAATAAGCTTTGAGGGATTCATTTTTTATTTGGACTGGCCCCACACAGGCCATGTGAGCTCTACAGACATTGAATTGGGGATAGCCGTGATCATGTTGTCAGGCTCTTTTGAGGTCAGAATTATGATTTCATTGCTTCACTAAAGTAATGTTCTAATTTCTTGACTGTTTCTGATCTAGATATCAATCGGGCACTTCCTCTGGAGGACTTGACAGCAGGAGTGATTGTAATGCTCTGCTTATTGAGTGGAGAAAGAGACTTGTTAAAAGGCAAAGACAAGATGCTACTCTGTGACCGTTTACTTTTCTGCCTCGGGAGAATAAAGTGGTTCTACCCGTAAAAGAAGAGAACATTTGAAGGACGCCTGAGGAGAAACATGCAGTAGCTTGGCAGAAAAACAAGGATTAAAAGTTGGAAATCAACATTCATTGGAAAAGCTTGCACACAAGGTAAGCTGCTTGTGATTAAAAACATGAATGTTATACTTTAGCCATAACCCTTCAAATGAGTGATCCGTGCACCGCCTCTCACCATTCAATTCAAATTAATTATCAGTCTCTATTATGAAAAACGTCAGCATAGAAATAGACTCATCTGTGACGATCACAGCCCAGCAGGCAGTGTGGGGCTCCTGTGAGAGCTGAGTATTAGTTATTAATATCTTTTGCTTCTTAGCAACTAGAGCATTGAGAATCAGAGACTACCACGTAAAACACACACACATACCCCCACTCAAACATGCAGAATGGCTCATTTGTTTTTATCATCCTCATGAAAACTCTTTCAAGGACATCTGAGGGTTTAAAACATACCTTGACTTTGTACTGAACATGTCTATTTTTATATAAATAAATGTCTATATAGAGGGTATTATTCTCTATTCATGGGTATAAAGTATTCCTGGTGGGAACACCTGCAGAGCAGACTTTGTGACCCCATTTTGAAGTTTTATTAAAGATGAAATCCCAGTTGCTTCATCACTGCACAATCGTAAAGCAGTAAGGTGCATTATTTGATGTTCAAGTGCATCTATTCTCTCGAAGAAATAGCACAAATAACAATAATATAACAAAGTTCTACCATTTTGTTTGAGTCGATCATACCCAACAAGTCTTGCTCACAGATATCAGAAAAGACCTGATCGAAATCGACCAGTATAGTATAGAAAAGGCAACAACACACATGTCACAGCCAGTTTCCAAGTGTCACCTTGTGCTGACCCACAGTTTAGGTGACTGCAGTGTGATGGTGTTAGAGTATCCTATTTTATGACTTTAAATGAGTGAAGTTCCAGCAGTGAGTTTAAACCTTTAATAATAAAATGATCATATAACAAAATCAGAACAGCTGGATGTCAATCAAGCAAGGGACACAAATGTCACTCAGAGCTAACTGCATATCTCTGCAACTAATGGTTGCAACAACGTTTTGCACAGACAGAACTGAGTCCAATGAACCAAAATATTAAAATCGGCGCCGCACTGTGACTTGCTAGCTGCGAGCTGAAATCACCTTGCTATGTCTTAGTAAACAACAAACAATGAGAGAATGAGGATGCAAGTCTTTCACTGAATGTACTTAACTTTAAATTTGGCTCCATTATTCAGTGAAAAAAATTAAACCTGTAGAATACTTTTGGTTGATCAACCTAGCACCAGCTGTACTATTAGCATTGTGCTAATTAGCAAGTGTTACGGTTGACGAAAGGTTCCTCATTCACTTTACTATTGGGGTTGTTTCCGTGGTGCCGACACGTAATTTAGCAGATTCCGTGTCTCCACCACGTAATGCGGTGTTAAGGACTCGTGTTAATTTCACGTATTTTGGTGAGACCAGGTTGTACATTTCCCCTAGCTGGATCATCCTATGTTCCCAGGGCATTATCTCTTAATATAAACTCGTAAAAAAACGAGTGATTAGAAGATGTGTGTTAAGTCAAGGAAACTGGCTTGTCCAAACATTTGAGGTTATTATAAGAAGTATAACATTAGTAAGCTATAAGATGTATGTTAGCCTACTTGAGCATATCAACCTTTGGAAACAGAAATGTAGCCAGTAACTGCTGGGAACACAAAACCATTTGAAAGCCCCCCTTAATGTGTTAAATTAGGATGATATTAAGCTAGGGAACATAGGACCCTGGGAAAAGAGATGTGCTATCAATGCCAACATGCTACACGGAAGTGTTGAACATGGTGATACCTGCTAACATTGTGAACATCTGAGCATATTGGCATTTAGCTCAAAGCAGCACTCTGCCAAGTACAGCCTCACAAAGCCACGAGCATGGCTGTAGACCTTTGTTAATCCCAAAGTTATCTAGACTGAAACATCGATAGACAGTTTGACTAAAGCAACATTTGTATCTGTTCCTGATAATAGTTATTTAATGTGTAATGTAGGCTATTTTGTTATCATTACAGGCTTGAAAAAAACTTAGTGGGACAGAGTTTATGGAAAGTCAATGGGAATATGTACCAAATTGGATTTCTATGACTCCTTAATGTTAACTCAACATAAACTGGGTGTGCTAACGGCTATGTAAATATTATTTGTCCATTAATGTGTGCCATTGATTCCATCTATTTCATCGTATTATGAAACTGATTGTATCTGAGGCTGTCTCTTTTATGATACCCAATCTTTTTCAGCTCCATTTTATTTTCCAGTTCAGCCTCACAGGGGAATTGCATAGCCTCACCACGGTACTCCAGTGACTCTAATAGTTGTGCCAGCTGGAGGAAACAGAAGATACGTCATATAAAATGGCAGGGCATTGGATTAGCTGGCTATTTCTGTACCATGTTGATCAGAGAAACATGAATTGTATACACCAGAGTATTTCCTCACAGAACAGAGGGGAAAGAAAGGTCTCAAAGGTTATATAACAATGATCTATATATATACATCTAAAAGGCTTCAATACATAGATTATTGTAAAGTATACTCATAAATGAAATTTTGACTATATTGAGAGGAAAAAATACATGAAGAGTGGTTACCCGGTTAAAACCAGTTAAAAGGATTGGCTTGTAAAGCTTTCTTATTCAACAGCTTTTGTTAGAAGCCAGCTCCTAAAACCTAAAAGTGAGACCTTTTTTTATTTTATTTATTTAACCTTTATTCAATGGTGAAAGTCTCATTGAGATTACAAATCTATTTTGCAAGAGAGTACTGGCCAAGATAGGCAGCAGCACAGTTAGAGAACACACATTAAAAAAACAGAACAGCGAACAATCAGGAGCATCATCATATAAAGAATCTACAGTTATCTGCTTCCCGGTCACTAAGAGGCACTTTAAAACTGTAAGCGAGAACAGTAGAGAAGTTTAGATATTTTTAAGAACTTTGTAAGTAGCAAAAGTATGTCAAGTAAAACAATTTATTGGTAGTAAATGAAGTGCTGGAATAAAGAGGAAGAGTCTAAAAAAAATGGTTGTATCCCACATTGAAGCTACTTACAGGGACATTTAAGTGGAAATGTACCTCATGTTGAGTGTATTCAATGTGCAATGTTTTTGCTGAAGCCAAAAGCAGCAACATTTTGTTATTGTACTATAGAAAAACACTTGTGAATGTAATTTTCCTTTTCTGCTTAATCTAATGCATTTATATTCCACTTTTCAGGTGATAATTATTCCCTTTACAAAATGGGAATTGTATGCAGATTATAGAAAAGATTGTTTACTAATATATTACCCATCCTTCCTTGACAGGAAACTACTATTGCATCACCTCTCAATCCAGTGTGTGTTGGACCGAGCTCTGCACTTACTGTAAGCCTGATCAGTTTTGTATGAGCTGGGCTGATAGTGAGAACCTGGCTGAGCCCCACTGAGGCATGAGTGTGGGAAGGGCCAAGCATCACAGCTTCGTGTCCTGTGAAGAAGAGGGCTTGAGACTGAGTGCAATGCCTGCAGTGGGCAGCTTCGGCAATGGCAAGATTCAAACGAGACGAAAGTCCCACAGCCGCTTTGTCAGCAAGGCTGGCCAATGCAACATCCATTTCTCAAACATGGATGAGAAGTCACAGCGGTACATATCGGATATTTTCACAACATGTGTGGATGTCCGCTGGCGATACATGTTCCTGCTCTTCAGCCTGGTGTTTGTGGTGTCCTGGCTAACATTTGGCCTGGCATACTGGGTCATTGCACTTCTACACGGTGATATGGACCATCTTGATGAAGACGACAGCTTTGTTCCTTGTGTCACGATGGTTAAAACCTTCGTGGCTGCGTTCCTGTTTTCCATTGAGACCCAGACGACCATTGGGTATGGAGCTCGCTGTGTGACAGAGGAATGCCCGGCTGCTGTCTTTATGGTGGTCTTTCAGTCCATCATGGGCTGCATTATAGATGCTTTTATGATTGGTGCCATCATGGCTAAGATGGCAAGGCCCAAAAAGCGTGCAGAGACACTACTGTTCAGCCACAACGCAGTCATTGCCATGCATGATGGGAAACTGTGCTTCATGTTTAGGGTAGCTAATCTGAGGAAGAGCCACATTGTGGAAGCTCATGTGCGAGCGCAGCTTGTCAAGCCCCGATACACAGAGGAAGGAGAATACATTCCCCTGGATCAACTTGACATGAATGTCGGCTATGACGATGGCACAGACCGCCTGTTTCTGGTGGCACCGCTCACTGTCATACATGAGATCGATGAAGGAAGTCCACTGTTTGGCATCAGTAAGCAGGATCTTGAAACACTAGACTTTGAGGTTGTAATTATACTTGAAGGCTTGGTGGAGGCCACAGCCATGACAACACAGGCACGGAGCTCTTACCTGCCCTCGGAGATCCTGTGGGGTCACCGCTATGAGCCCGTCATCTTTGAGGAGAAGAGCCAGTACAGGATAGACTACGCCTACTTTCACAAAACATACGAAGTACCATCCACCCCCAGATGCAGTGCCAAAGACCTGGAGGATAGAAAATTCCCAACATCTGGTGCCAACTCTTTTTGCTATGAGAATGAGCTGGCCTTCATCAGCAAGGATGAGGAGGAGGAGGTGGAGGAGGAGGAAGGAGATGTGGAGGTAGAGGAAGAAAGGAAGAGTTCATCGGAGCGAGTGAACGAGCAGGCCAATCCTGGACGTGATCAAATGGCGTCACCTAAAGAGTCAGAGATTTAATCTTTGGTTGACTTTTTTCTTTGTTTATTTGGATGCAGAACAATGCAAGTGTCGTGTACAAATCCCTATGACTGTCGCTCTACTGACGTGAGGAAACAACAGAACTGATCTGAAAGACTTAAACTTTAGATTTATCTTATGATTAACATTTTGTTCTTCCCCGAGATGGTTATGAAGCTTTATTAAAGGCAAACAAGACTATGACAAAGTGCATGACAATAGTATAGTTTTGTATGAATATATTTAAATGTTTCATACAGTAGGTTCGGCGGGACAATCTGTAGGTGCTGTTCACAGTCCTCAAGTATACAATTTGCAACTGAGTGTGGAGTTAGATTAACACTTTGCAGAAAACTAAACATTTGAGAATATTTCTCCAGATTAAGTTCTAAAAAATAGAGGTGTTGATCAAGTTTTTTCTTAATGTAAAAACCATGTGAACAATATGACTCAAATTTTTTTTCATTAGACAATGTCAATGGATGACTTGGTTAGTTGGCTTACATACAACGGCTATATCATGGACTGCATTTAACTAAAGACGACACATCACAAGGTAGAGTTTTAAACATTTCCGTATTTCCAACAAAAAGAGAGAACAGCCTGATGGTGCATCACAAGTCAATAATGAAGGCAAAACTCTGTCTTCACATTTCAGCCAGGGGGAAACATTAAAACATGAGTAGATGTTTAACAGGTCAATTATATCTCAACAGTTTAGCAGAAACATTTTGGCTTGACTGAATGAGTGTTTTCTGAGCCGCACTCCCTTTGTTACGTGTTTTTACGCCAAATGTCCTGTTCTCACAACATACAAAGCAGTTTACAATAATAATTCAGGTAGATTTTCAATTCAACCTTGAATTTATTCCGCTGTAGACAAATGCAGGCTCATCATTTTTAGTGGACAACCCTGACTGGCTATTGCTAATGTTAGCTTCATGAGTTAGCTGCAAATGTTGTCTCAAACTCAGTTTTTCAATGTTTGTAAAATACTTTTTTTTTAAAGGGCGTTTGCTAAGCCGCCTCCTTCTGTTAATTGTTATTATGCCAAATGTTCTGTTCTCACATGGCAACATGAAATGCAGTTTACAATAATAATTAAGGTAGATCTTTACCTTGAATTTAGGCAGCTGTAATTCAGGCTTATTATTATTGCTCATTTCTACCAGACAACCCTAACAGGCTAAAGCTAATGTTAGCTTCCGGAGTTAGTTGCAAAGGTTGTCTCCAGCTAATTTGTAACGTATGAACCAGACTTTTTTAATGAGAAAACAGTCTTATATGTGCACCAGTTGCTGCTATATATCCCACTGAAAAGCTAACAGGTCCCAGGCTAAACGTTAGCATCCTCATCAGTTGATGATGCATGTGGAAATCTTGGGAAATAAAGAAACAACGCTGTGCTTTTGTTGGATTTTAGAGAAAGTAAGTCCAGGTTTTACAACTATAATGAGAAAGTATATTCTGTATGATCAGACTGTTATTCCATACTAACCCTGTCTAGCTTAACTTGTTTTGCTTACACTACAGAAAAATGTCATTACTCAAAAACCTTTTTAAACGTTTTGGATGAAAGTGTTAACTAGGTAATTTGTATCTGTGTTTAACTTTTTAACAGTCATTAAATGTTTTACAAAAAAAAGAAAAATGCAGGAAACTATGCTTTATTATTTTTATTTCAAAATAGCACTCCATGGTTCACTTTAAGACCATGGGCACTATCACTATCTCAAGTGTAGTTTGCCGGGGTAACTAAAGAGTAAATCATCCCATAATCCATTCAATACTACATCATTTGCTAGTTGTAAAAAAAATGGACATGAGGAATCAGAGTAGCCTATACTGTCAGCAATGCTTCAGCTCGGGCTACTTAAGAGCAGACCATCTGTCTCATAGTGAAAGAGAGGCAAGGTCAAATAAAAAGGTGTGAACCTAACAAACTCCTCACATAAAGGAAGACTTGACACATTATTTTTGAGGGCCATGCATTACTTTGGTGGAGTTATAACCTAATGTATGACATCTGTGCTCATTGTGTCGGGTCAAATCCAAATAACACAGATTGAAAGAAAAACAATTATACACAAAACAACAATAAACGGTCCAGTTCGAAGAAGAGCAGAATAAATGGCTGAGAATACCCCTTCAAGTGCTTAAATAAATATAGATATAAAAACATCAGATATCAGCCTTTGACATTATTCAGATGTTTATAGGACAACATTTTGCAGAAATTCTACAAAAAAAAAAAGTAACATTTTAATCAAATCTAACTCTGCCTGTAAAACATTATGTCGTAACAGATGTCTACCTAGAAATCAGTGCAAACAAATCCAACCATAGCCTGAGATAGCCCCAGGTATATTATTAAAGTATATCAATGTGAGAAACAGCAGGGGATAGATGTGTTTAATCATAATCATGCCTTTCAGCGTCCCATTTTCACACCAACCTACTCACGCAGTGGCAGATCACACACATGGCTAAAAATACATGAATTTGCTGCTTGTCATATAATCAACCTCCAATTATATTTTTATTTCTTTCATTATAGCATACATAATAAAGATATTACGTCAGACACTACTCCACTTGGTGAAATGAATGAGTATTTCCTCCACATTTCTCAAGCTTAAAGCTCCATGTGGGTTAATGTATACACCTGAGAGCCGATTCAGAACATTTGAACACATTCACATTTATATCTTGTTGCCTTGGGCTTGAAATATCCGAATGGGCTTGCTCCAGAAAACAAATGTTGTTTCCATTGCCATTTGAACCAAGAGCGGGACTGTACAGTTAAAGGGAAGAACTGAAATGTGTACATTTTGTCTGTTATTGTAAATAAATTATTATTGTTTTTGGTTTGATGTTTCTGGTTGAATAGACATAAGTAACAACACATTGTTTAAAAAGCTCTCTCTCTCTTCTGGAAATACTTGCTTGATGGACTGACTCAATTAAAAAAAACTCTTCCTGTCTTCCACTTAATACATTTAAAGCCATTTTGACTCTGGGTTGCACCTTGTTTTCTCCTTACAGGGTTGTAGTTTGTTGTGTGAGACAACAATATATAAATGTAGGGACAACAACATTATTCTCCTGTTGATTATCACAATAAAAATAGATCTCACAAAGCTTACTTATTTTCTTCATGGTACACAGTAACTAAGTGTAGGGATGATTTTACAACAAGCTGTGTTTGTTGTCCAGTTATAAAAAATACATTTGGCATCTGGTGAGGGAAAGTGTGTGCTGTTTGATAAACATGGGGGAATGGACTGTAATTTATGGCTGTGATTCGGTGTGAAGGTGTCTGGTTGGGGTCAAAGGTTTCTTCTTTCACTCTTATGCAACCAATAAGGCATGTCTTTGCATATGTACTGACCAGACCTGGCGTGATTTCACTGCCCTGTAACCTTGAACACTGGAAAAGAGATTACTACACACACACACACACACACACACACACACACACACACACACACTCACACACACACACACACACACACACACACACACACACACACACACACACACACACACACACACACACACACACACACACACACACACACCATGTATACATCACTTCAGGGGACATTACATTGACTTACATGCATTTCCTGGAGACTTATCCTAACCTTAACCATAACCAACACATGCCTAACCCTACCCCTTAACCTTACCCTAACCAAGTCTTCACCCTAAAATTAATGATTCCCCTCATGGGGACCTCCATTTTGTCCCCATAAGGGAGGCGAGTCCCCACACGTGACTGTGTAGACAGATTTAGGTCCCCACAAGTATAGTAATGCTAGGCCACACACACACACACCACACACACACACACACACACACACACACACACACACACACACACACACACACACACACACACACACACACACACACACACACCCACACACACACACACATACACACACACACACACACACACACACACCCACACACACACACACACACACACACACACACACACACACACACACAACAACAGAAACGTTAATGAGAACGGAGAATAGCGTTGGTTAAATTGCCAAAAATATGTGTGGGCTGAAGAGTGGGTGTTTTATTATATCCTCACATTAAATCCTATCACAGTGACTTGTATTGAACTGTTCTACCCTTTCAATCCATATAACCCTTTTTGGAAAGTTAGTTAATTAATGTCTTTGGGCACAAATACACATTCCATGCGGTTTTTCTAAATATAACCTTTATTTCCAACGAAAACTCTTTATCCCCTGCAAAACATTGCCCATATAGGGACCACATTTTCTTATTATTAATTATTTCATTATCAAACCCATGTTACACCCGAATTACATCTATATTATATTGTTATTACACCTATATTAGAACCCATATTACAACCATATTACATTATATTATGATGACTCGTGTTGAATCCATATGAAATTGTTATTACATACATTTCACACTATTTTTATACCCACATTACACTTATATTACGACCCATCTTAAACCCACATTACACCGTTATTACACCAATATTATACCCACATTACACTTATATTATGACCCATCCTATACAATTAACCATTGTTGTTCTCTACCGTCCACCAGGCGCCTTGGGGGACTTCTTGGAGGAATTAGATAATCTCCTCTCACACATCCCTGAAACTGGCCCTCCCGCTGTACTTCTCGGAGACTTCAACCTCCAGACAGGGAAGATAGACGAACTAACATCCCTGTTAACCGCCTTTGCTTTCTCACTGTCTCCGTCCCCACCAACTCATAAAGCTGGCAATGTCCTTGATCTCATATTCTCAAGGAACTGCACTACTTCTAACCTCTCTGTAAACCCGCTCCACACATCCGATCACTTCTTCATTTCATTCTCTCTACCCCTTTCCAAACATAACAAACTAATCTCTTCTCATCCTGCACCTGTCCGCCGTAACCTTCGTTCCCTCTCCCCCTCTACCTTTGCCTCATTGGTGCTCTCAGCCCTCCCTTCCTCTGACTCGGTCCAACTCCTACCACCAAACTCTGCTGCAGAAACTCTCCTCTCTACTCTCTCATCCTCTCTGGACTCTCTCTGTCCTCTCACATCTCGGCAGGCTCGTCAGTCCCCTCCTGCTCCCTGGCTAAATGACGCACTGCGTGCTAATAGAACCGTCCTTCGGGCAGCTGAGCGGAAACGGTGGAAATCCAAACACCGTGACGACCTCCTAACCTATCAGGCTCTCCTCTCCTCTTTCTCTGCTTTGATATCTCAGGCAAAAAGCACTTTCTTTCAAGATAAGATCCAATCTTCATATTCCAATCCCAAAAAACTATTTTCCATCTTCTCCACCCTCTTGGACCCTCCCAAAGCCCCTTCCCCCTCCTCCCTTCTGTCAAGCGACTTTGTTAACCACTTTGAAAAAAAGGTTGATGATATTCGCTCTTCTTTTTCTGACTCACCTTTACTCACCACTGGGTCACCAGACCCTCCTTTCACCCACACACTGACCTCCTTTTCCCCTCTCTCTCCAAGTGAGGTTCTTACCCTCATTACCTCTGCCCGCCCTACCACCTGTCCTCTGGACCCTATCCCTTCAAACCTCCTTCAGACTATCGCTCCTGATATTCTACCGTTTCTCACCCATTTCATCAACACTTCTCTAACTTCTGGTCACTTTCCAAACAGTCTCAAGGAGGCAAGAGTAAACCCTCTCCTAAAGAAACCCACTCTCAACCCGTCTGATGTTATAAACTACAGGCCTGTCTCTCTCCTCCCGTTCCTGTCTAAAACACTTGAACGCGCTGTCTTTAAACAACTCTCCTGTTATCTCCATCAGAACAACCTTCTGGATCCGCACCAGTCTGGTTTCAAGGCAGGTCACTCCACAGAAACTGCTCTCATTGCTGTCACTGAGGAACTGCACACTGCTAAAGCAGCCTCCCTCTCCTCTGTCATCATCCTTTTGGACCTGTCTGCTGCATTCGACACGGTGAACCATCAGATTCTCCTTCGCACTCTCCTTCGCACTTGGAGTTTCAGGCTCTGCACTTTCCCTCATCACCTCATACCTCAAAGACCGCACCTACAGGGTTACTTGGAGAGGGTCGGTGTCCGACCCTTGTCAATTAACTACAGGGGTCCCTCAGGGCTCTGTTCTTGGTCCCCTCCTCTTCTCCTTGTACACAAACTCGCTCGGATCTGTCATTAGCCCGCATGGTTTTTCATACCACTGCTACGCTGACGACACCCAATTAATTCTGTCCTTTCCCCGCTCAGAGACCCAGGTCGTCGCACGCATCTCTGCTTGTCTAGCTGACATCTCTCAGTGGATGTCTGCTTATCACCTCAAGCTCAACCTTGACAAGACTGAACTGCTTTTCCTTCCGGGAAAAGATTGTCCCACTCTTGACCTAACAATCAACATTGGCACCTCTGTTGTTTCCCCGACTCAGACTGCAAGGAATCTGGGTGTGATCCTAGATAACAAACTGTCCTTCACTGCAAACATCGCTGCTACAACCCGCTGCTGCAGATACACGCTTTACAACATCAGGAAGATACGTCCCCAGCTGACCCAGAAAGCAATGCAGGTTCTGGTCCAGACTCTCGTCATCTCACGCCTAGACTACTGCAACTCCCTCCTGGCTGGTCTACCTGCATGTGCCATCCGACCTCTGCAGCTCATCCAGAATGCAGCGGCTCGTCTGGTCTTCAACCTTCCTAAATTCTCCCACACCACGCCGCTCCTCCGCTCCCTTCACTGGCTTCCGGTAACTGCTAGAATCCACTTCAAGACAATGGTACTTGCGTACCATGCTGCGAATGGATCTGGCCCTTCCTATATCCAGGACATGGTTAAACCGTACACCCCAGCACGTGCACTCTCGCTGCACCCTCGCTGCGAAGGGGACCCAAGTTCCCATCAGCAAAAACACGTGGGTTTGCTATCCTGGCTCCAAAATGGTGGAATCAGGACAGCAGATAGCTTACACACCTTCCGGCGCAGACTGAAAACTTGTCTCTTTCGACTACACTTCGAGCAATAGAACTATTAACAAAGCACTTATATACTAATAAAGGACTGGCTTACCTAAAGCCAGTTGAGTAGCACTTGAAATGTTTTTGCTCTATGAAACCTGATGTACTTATATGATTCTGTTTTCTTCAAGTTTGTATTTTGTTGGTCGAACGCACTTATTGTAAGTCGCTTTGGATAAAAGCGTCAGCTAAATGCAATGTAATGTAATCTTAAACCCACATTACAGCATTATTATACCCATACCCACATTTCACTTATATTACAACCCATATTACACCGTTATTACACTTTTTTCACACCATTATTTCAAAGTAACATATTACTCCATGTTACACCCTTATTACACGTTATACGTGTTACATCATGGACACAGCCTGTCAAATGACCACATCCCCCAGGATACACAAACCATTTAAGGGTACAGTAAGTTATCTTGAGTGCCAAATGAAAGTGTAATTTCGTTCTCTTAGAGCTGTATCCTCCGAGAGGTGCTGTGTGATGGAAGAGGCTCTGAGAATAAAACGGGATGCTTCCCACCCACGTGGCAGTGTTGGAGGACGGAGAAGCGTGGAGGGTCAGTCTTCCAGCATGCAGAGTGGGCTGTTGAAAGGCAAATTTGGCTTTAATTGCAGCAGTTCTATTTCTTCGCCAGAGGAGGTGGAGGGTGGAAAAAAAGTAACATGATGCAACAGCTGCACCTCCTCTCCTTAAGACATAACTCTAGACATTTCAGAGCTGCTTAATATTCATTTATTTTCTGTTTATAGCTACTTTTCTAGTCACTGATGGACGAAAGTTAACATCAAACACAAAGCCATTATAAAGAAAGACGAGACAAGATAGTACCCTGTAGCTCCTGATTTGACTATTAACTCACTGGAATTATATAATTGCTTGATTGATGAACATCACTAAATATGATTCACCATCACTATATATGTATTCACCCCAACAGAACCCAAAGTAAAATCTATTTTAAATTGCTCAAATAAACATGGATAGATGAAGCGCTGCCAATGTCTTTCTGGTGCAGTTTTGATATTTGGTTGTTGCTAAATACCTTCTACATGCTTTGTTGTGGTTAATTATTGTCACGGATAAGCTTACTAAAACATGTCAATGGGATATTTTGGCCGTTTGATTTGTTTCTGACAGGAAGTATTCATTAAGGTAAGACTAATGTAAAAAACATTTTGATCAGCTTTTTTCAGTGTGTTGGGGAATGAGACAATGTTGGTCCCATGTCATGGCCATTTCTACTGATCATAATTCCATTGTTGAGGTATACTAAAATACATTTATATTGTGCAATTTTCCAAACTCACATTGGTTTCTCATACAGCATCTCTGTATAGTATGTGTATTCACTCTCTGTCCTAAACGGCTTATTGGAGCTCCTGCCCCCCCCCTCCCTGCCCAGTGGCCGTCTGCGAGACAGCGAGACACCACGAAACTCAGCCTGGGCACGCACACACACACACACACACACACACACACACACACACACACACACACACACACACACACACACACACACACACACACACACACACACACACACACACACACACACACACACACACACACACCTGGAGCCTGGCTGGGAGTTTGTGTGTGTGCCCAGGCTGAGTTCTGCGGTGTCTCGCTGTCTCGCCGACCCCACACCAGTGAGCCAGCTCACAGTGTCCCCCTCCTCGCCGCAGCGAGCCTCGCAACGTCCCGCCGAGTGTGTGTGTGAGGAAGTCCGCGGAATGGTCCAAATGTAACGGCTCCGCGCGGGTTAGTCAATTCGGACCAATCTGTGGAGCCGTTACGTTACATTACGTCACTATAACCGAAATACGTCACTATACCCAAGAAGTAAACAATGGAAAAAGATAAATCTCCAACGAGGCCTTCTGGGGCAGCATAGACAGGTATTTTCTGTGTTATAGTTTTACTCGCTACAGGGTGTAGTTTGAAGGTTCGTGACTTTGCAGACCGTTTACATAGCTAGTAGCTACATAATACACAAGGGGACGGGTAATAACCAGAAAAGCATGACATGGGACCTTTAAGATTTGCTGGAAGTAAGCCTCAAATGTTGTTGTACTGGAGGCAAGGGTGTGACATCTCTTCAGGACAGAACAAGTGAAGGAAACTGAACTTCTTGGTGTTATATTTCAGTTTCCCTTTCCACTGAAAGCCGATTCAGAGAGTTAGGGCAGTGCAGTATTATTCTTCTGAGAGGTGTGGACAGCTCAAAGGTCAGAGAAGGGAACATGTGAATGGAAGATGAAGAACTCGCCATGACTTGGAAAATGTGATAGAGGAAAAATGGTTTCAGAAATCAGGGTGGACTTAAGTGGAATTTAAACGGCTGTCTAACCCCCTGATCCCACCGGAAGCGTCTGCGCTGCGGCTTCGCCGCGCTGCGACCTCCTCCTGCGTCATAACCCACCAGGCGCGTTTTAAAACGTTGCGGAAGCGGAGCGTCGTGTGTGCAGCCTCGCAGTTGTTGGATGAACGTTCCACTTCCTGCCTGCGCCGCGCCGCGTCAAAAATAGGATTCATCCTATATTTTAGAAATTCCTTGCGGCGAGGAGCTTCTGGGACGCTTCGAGCCGCGGCGCAGCGGATCTGGTGGAATAGCACCCATTGACTAGAGTGGCCACGATCGCTAAAAACGCTGCAGCCGCAGCGCAACGCAACGCAGCGCAACGCAGCGCAGACGCTCCTGGTGGGATTAGGGGGTAACTGTCCGAAGTTACACAATGCTGGAGACATGTGTGAGGATCTTTTGCTTCCATAAACAATCAATGATAAAACGTTGTCTGCGCACATTATGGAATCAGCATTAAATACCCTGTTAAACTAAAATGGATAGGAATTATAAAACAGATATTATAATATAACAAAAATAACACAATAAAACACATGCATTGGTAACACACTAATATTTAGTCAAAAGCAGATACAGTGTTGTTGTAAGTGTTTAAACAGTATAACATGATGTTTGATTATGTATAATTACACACATAAACTCGTCCTTATTATATAACAGATGTATTATCCCCTAAAAATATTATTTGGAGGGAAAGTTTAAAGTATGATCTACTTTTGTATAATGGATATTTTGATATTTCATGAATAAATATGATTATTAAAATGAATAATTATGTTAATAATATTTTAATTAATTAAAATTCTGCTATATTATAAGGACTAATGAACGGCTTTTACACTATTGTATTTGTATTTCATTCATAATCATATGGCTGTTGACAATTATATGAAGACATAAAAACTGTTTTCAGCTACAATATATTGTGCTATTGTACAAGCATTGTACATTGTACATTGTAATTGTTTATATACTCTACTTAAAGGCAATACCTTTTCTTGAACTTTCCAGGCAGTCAACCCGATAATGTAGAAAGCTGACAATGTAATTTATCCTAATGTGACCATCATGTGTCATGACAAATATCAGTCTCAGGTTGAGCACTGGTTTGAATCACCTTTATAGTGTATCAGCTCTCCAGTTGAAGCCAGTTTCCATGTGTAGTGGTACACTAGTGTTTACTATCTGATCCTCTATTGCTTCAAGTTATTTCGCTCACGGAGACATTCACTCTCCAGCTGAGCACATCACTCAGTATTTACTCGCAGCTCCAGCCCGACTCCTGCAGACGTTCAGTATTTGATTACAGCAACAGGCTGATTGGATTTCAGGAGGCATGACTCAAATACCTCCAGCAAACACAGAGCAACTGGAGAACTTCCTGCTTGGGATGGACGAGCAGAGAGGACACTGAATAATCAGCGCACACACAAACACCACCAGGGTCAGCATGGACAAATCACTCTGACATGATCTGCAGGACGCTACACCTCAGAAAACAATCAAGATTTATAAAGAACTCCAATGGCTGCAAAAGGTTTTCTCTCTCTCAGGCTGATTATGTGGGTCTCTGTCTCAAAGCGAAGACGTGTTGCATTCGTCAATGTTGAATTAGTGGATTTAATGTTTAAACCGAATACTTATGTTTTCTTACTCAATTTCAGAACTTTTACTGAAAAGACTGTGAATGGAGCAGGGTGTAGGAAGTATCAAAACTACACTATATTTAAGTTAATAATTTATGTTCCTCACAATAACCAATTATATTTTAAGTAAATATGAAACATCTTTGTAAAGGAATCCTTTATCTAACCTGAGACAAACCGTCAAATAACTGAAGAGATCGGAAACAGATAGACAAAGCAAAATAATGGAAATTATTTGTAAGTAAGGTCATCACAAAAATCAATATAGTTGAGAAACTTACTGTGAGTAACCCTCGAATTGTGTTTATGAAGACTAATAATAATGTTGACAGCAGAACTATACCAACTGACCTGAACCTCTTTGCTGCCCTCATGTGGCTCATTATTCTTGTAACATGCAAACATCATAGTCCATTTTTCATAGAATACATTTGAAATCTAAGCAGCATGCATAACATTTTGCAACAAATTTAACATACATTTTGTTCATTATATTTTGACTATTTGTTTTGATCACCTGACTAGCGATAGCCAAAACCACAAAAGAAAAAGAGGCATTTCATTACTTTTCTTTAAATACATTTTTATTACATAAATGACGTAGTTTTGACAGTGTGGCCTTTTAACATAAAGACCCCAGGGGAGTGGCTATATACAGGACCGTCCTGTACACAACGCCAAATGACTATATACAGGAGCGTCCTGTACACAACGCCAAATGACTATATACAGGACCGTCCTGTACACAACCCTCTGAAATGGCTATATACAGGATGGTCCTGTATATAAGGTCTCTGAAATGGCTATATACAGGACGGTCCTGTATATAGCCATTTCAGAGACCTTATATACAGGACCGTCCTGTATATAGCCATTTCAGGGCTTCTGTGCAGGACCGTCCTGTATATAGCCATTTCAGAGAGCTGTGTACAGGACGGTCCTGTATATAGCCATTTGGCGTTGTGTACAGGACCGTCCTGTATATAGCCTCGGCCTAAAGACAGCGTTTTACATTTCAGGTATTTTGGAATGGTGCACCTGCACAACAGAGCCATGAATTCCTCTCAGTCTTTTAGGTTTGTGCATGGGTTTGTATTTGTATATTTCTTCAATTATTTGATTTGACCAAACACAGAAAACCGCAGACCCTTCCTCCCTGACCCCCCCCAGTGACCCCTCCCCCCAGCCCTGTCCTCTGTGCAGAGCTTATTTTTCAGCCCCAGTTGAAAAGGTCCTCATCTGTAAAGGGCAGGATATCTGTGACCAGGCCGGTGCCGATGGTTTTGCTTCCGTCTCTCAGAGTGAACCTCTGGCCTTTCTCCAGGACCATCGGCTGACGGAGCGTGAGCGTCAAGGAGGTGTCCTCCCCGGGCATCACCATTTCCTGAAGGAAGAAGAGAGATTGATTATTGTCCTAGAAAATCCTGTTGTTGCACTACATTGTTTACTAGGGCTTTTTATTGCAGAGACATAGATTAGTTATTTGCTCTATAAAATGTCAGAACATTTTCTCATTTTAAAAACTGGGATCAGAAAATGTTGACTTCTGATAACTAATCAACATCAAATTTTGTTCACTTATGAACATTAGGTCATTTGTATGCATATTGACCTGCCTTGTTGTTGAAATGCACTATACATAATCTTGCCTTTCCTTACGATAGATATATATATATATATATATATATAAACAGTTGTATGACATATTTGGTAATAAAACAGTTATGCATACTGTTGTAAATTCCCCTTGTTTTCCTTGATCTGCGTTATATCGTTCGTGTTTTAGTCAGGCACATTTAGGGACAGCTAAACTACCGCAGCTGGGTGTCCTAGAGCTGTTTACACATGTGTGTTCATGACAGGACATTATTGCGGTGGCATCATCACATGCATAATTACCATCGTCAAAGAGAGAATGCGTTCGTGAAGAATGTGAGCATATATGCAGATCTTTAGTGTTGGTAATGTTATACGATTGTATGCAAAGTGTCCTGCTGAGTCAGTGTGTTAATGAGTCTATTGATGTCCCGTTTTTAGCTGCTATGTTGTTCAGAAATGGAGCTAATGCTAGCTAGTTAGCTAAGTTAAGCTATTCAGTGATAGTGTGTAGATGAGATACTAGCTTAGCCTTTATTAGCCATGTGTATGTTTGCAACGTGTCTAATGTGTTTTGGCATCAATTAGTATCGCTGTTGCTTATTATTAATAACCAGTCTGGTTAGTTATTGTAATGTGAACCTTATTTCTATTTCTGTGTATTTTGCAGAAACCATTCATTCATTCATTCATCTCTACATTCATTCTCATTATCATCATCCTCATCAAACCCATTCGACATCCTATATGTGATTCCACATCAAACATGATGTATTCTGTGTTGATGATCAGAACCAAGATAATATAAAGTTCAACGACTGTACTTCCTGTCTCCGTGTCAACTCTCTAACCGGAGTGCTGTTTTGGATCAAGCGGCTCCAGCACAAACATTACAACACAAAAGATCCCCCCAATACCTACCTTTAACAACTTTTACTGAAAATGTCAAGATATAAATGTGTTACAGGTCAAAGCCTTTTTAGCATAACTTTTCTAATCCATATGTAAACAGAGATGCTGGTTTTACAGATTAGAAAACATCATAAAGTTGTTTGCCCTTGTTTACAGACACTAGCTGAGCAAACTCTTAGGGATGGAATTTAAACTCTATTCGAGAAACATGGTTTTACTGAAACACACAAACCTTGTCCAAGGGCAGAGTGACCCTGCAGGCCATGTCCCAGGTCAGAGAGAACATGAGGGGCATGAAGTTGGAGATGAAGGGTTTGTGTCGGCCTCCCTCCTCCTTACTCAGAATATACACCTGCAACACAGGAAGCACAAACACCACACACACATCAGAGCTGCAATCAGTGGACACAGTGAGTAATGCATTTCATAATAACATCACAAAGACTAAAAAGGGACTATTGACCCGTCAACAGTTTTACAATAGCCATTTAGATGAATCGATGTAGGCTATGTCCGTATATATCATTCAATAGTAGAAATGTCTCCACCAGAACTGTTTCCACCACAGTACATATTCGTGTGTGAATTTGTGATTATGGCATGAAGACATTATTCGTATATAACCTTGCAAATGAAGCTGCTGTTTTTATCAGAAAGGGAGCATTGCATTGTGGTTTCTGTTTTGTCATTTTCTTTAAAATGGAAGATGAGCAAATACTGCAGGAAAAGTCTTATCTTAGCAACATTACAACTTCAATTCCATTTTTGAGTCTTTACTTTTGATCTCTGAAATAATGTGATGAAGTATGGTATGGGTATTTTTGAACCAATACTTAAATGTACTTTACAGAACAACGTCCGTTTAAAATATAACCATTACAGCGGTAGAAAGTATCGGCCAGTATTATTGGGCATACCTGGGCCTGGACTTTCCTGTGAGGCATGATGGATCCTGGTTTGCACATCACCATCCCTCTCCTGACCTCCTCTCTCTTCAAACTTCTAACCAGAGCGCCAAGATTATCTCCTGCCTCCGCCCGATCCAGAGACTTGTGGAACATCTCGATACCTGAGCAAAATAAAGGACGGACAGAAAGGTGAAAATCATTTGTATACACCGAATCTCGTACAGTATATTATATTTTTGTTAAAAGCAAAAGGAGTTCCTCCTCTGTCTTTCTGTTGCTTCTTTCTTTCACTCACCTGTAACCACCGACTTGAAGCTGCGGTTGTGACCCACAAACTCACACTCGTCTCCCTTCTTAATGACCCCCCTCTCCATAGTGCCTGTCACCACTGTGCCTCTGCCTGAAAGACACAATCGATAAAACTCAGATTAGGAGAATGTCATTTTTTGACTTAATACAGGAATACACATTTAAGATATACGCTTATTACAAGAAAAAATGCTAACAGTAAGGCTCCCCTTAACTGAATTTAGATTTTAAGTTCTGCGTTGAGACAAAGTGTTCATGTTGCATTTCTTGCCTGTTTTTCATACCTGGGATTGAACACACTCCTTCAACGGGGAGGAGAAAAGGTTTTTCCAGCTGTCTTTTGGGCAGTGGGATGTATTCGTCCACCTTCTCCAGCAGATTCAACACTGCATTCACACCGAGTTCAGGCTCTCTGTTCTGGGAAGAGCAAAAGAAAAATCATTCAGTCAAGACACTTCTCATCAGAGACTCAACACGTTAAACTGCAAGTGAATTCAACAGTGGGTTACATCGGTATATAAGCGTAGTTTTATCTAAACCCTAAGATAGGTTACTGCCAGTCCTCCCCCTCACCTCCAGGGCGCAGAGGGCCGAGCCGATCACAACTGGTGCGTTGTCGCCATCGTATCCGAACTCTGTGAGCAGCTCACGGATCTCGATCTCCACCAGCTCCAGCATCTCCTTGTCATCCACAACGTCGGCTTTATTGATGAAAACAACAACGTGCTCGATGCCAATCTGCCGCGCCAACAGGATGTGCTCTCGTGTCTGAGGCATCTGGCCGTCGGTGCCCGCCACCACCAGGATGCAGCCGTCCATCTGGGCTGTGCCTGTAATCATGTTCTGAGAAAGAAAATACGTAGGTGTGATTCATTATGTTTCTGAGTACTTATATAGTGCATAGTTTAGGGCTGTGCAATTAATCCAGGGTATATGCAGGAATCCTGAAGTGAAATGTAAAACCTTTTAAGACCCTTTCCATACATTTTAAGACCTCATCGCCCCTTCGAGTTTTAACCGGTTACATTGGCGACACACTTTACCTCACATGTACTATATACAGTATTGATTGTCCTTCCTCCTTATCTTCCAACCATTTGGACGCAAACTTGCATTTCCCCATAACGATGTTTAACAACCGGCGTAAACGGACCTTCACACGCTATCAAGCAGTGAGTGTGCGATGTCCTGTTCAGATGACGTCACATCCAACGGGATGCCATAAATAAACTACACAGAATCACACTACACACCTACGCAATGATTACATTCAGGCAGACTGTAGAATACAACCTCTTTGGACCATTTATATACTTATTGAAAACAAGCTACAAAATGTAATACCTTGGAAAATGCCCTTTAATACTTTTTTAATAGCCTTAAAGGTATCTTAAGTGCTTTGACAAAAAATCCATAAAAAAATGTTCATCTGTGGAAGCCGTAGTACTGTAAAAAGCACGACCAATCATCTGAGCCGGCCCGGCTAAAATGATTGGATGGCCTACCTGCATGACAGCCTTCCATCTGTGCACAAACTTATCTCGTGCCCTCATTGGTCATGTGTGCGTTCGTGTGTTGGAGGAGGGGCTCTGTAAGGAAGTGGCAGATTTTTTCCGGCTGTGTATTTTCAAATTCTAGCGCACTCGAGCTGGTTTCTCCAAAATTAAGTTTGTGCACAGATGGAAGGCTGACAGGCAGGTAGGCCATCCAGTTATTTTAGCCGGGCCGGCTTAAAGAGCAACTTGCAGGTTAGAGACACCAGTGAATAAATGTGCAGGAAAATGATGAATACACTAGATTTTCAAAGAAATAAACAGAAATATACACTTCAGTGACATCTGGCGTCATTTTTGTAAGACATTTTTACTTCCGCATAAAAAAAGCCTCCCCATGTGACCTCCCGCGTGTGACGTAACATGGGGGAGAGCGGCCGGTCTAACGTATGAATAAACATGGATCACAATGCTAGTTTTGACACAGAAGAGGTTGAAAATATATATTGGAATGCATCTGATTATAATTATGAGGCTGCTATGCGTCCAAGAGACCAGGAGCAGCCAAGGATTAGAAGAAATAACGGCCATCGGAGAGAAATGGAGCTGTGGTGTGTGGAGAATCAGTGGAGAACAGGGCAGCTGTCTTGGTGAGTGACCGGCGTTAACTCCAGACAGTTAATGTTAGCTAACGTCAGTCACATCACAACATTGTAAAGTTAGCTATCATATATCAGGCTATAACTAAAGTAGTATTGATAATATAGTAACGTTACTGGCAGGACTGTTGATACTGATCCATAACAGAAACTAAAGCGCAAGTATCAGCCGTATCTGAGAGAGAGAGAGAGAGAGAGAGAGAGAGAGAGAGAGAGAGAGAGAGAGAGAGAGAGAGAGAGAGAGAGAGAGGCAATACGGTTTCCTGATAAACGTTTTGTTTGATCGGCTTCTGCTGTGGAGAGTATGTGCTGCAGGGAGGTGGATGCACCTCGCACCCAGGAATGAACGCTAGCTCCGGTCCTTTTCCTGTTTGGGAAACTGTGGACTCGATGTCCTGACACTGACAGGCTCGAGTTTGTGCAACCTGCACAAACATAAGCTCACCATGATTACAAATGCAAAGTAAAATTACTGAAAAAATACCAGCTCACTAAATCACAACCGCTCAAACCAACTACAAACTACTATCGCGGATTGGGCAGAGAAGGAGTCCGAGAAAGTTGCTCCCCCATGTGACGTAATATGACGCGTTTGACGTATGACGTTAACAAAAAGCAGTTTTTAGTATCAGAGCTCAAAGCGGCTCCTTTCCCTCTGAATTCCTGCCCTTATGTCTTGTAAAACATATCAGATCCTGCATTAACTTTTTTAATTGTAATTTTCAGGCAAGGTTAAGCATAAATGTAGTAAAAAGAAAAACCTGCAAGTTGCTCTTTAAGATATTCATTGCTATCGGGATGTTAAGAGCATTCCATGCAATATAACAAAAAGTGTATCTCGAGCCGGTTTCTCAAACTTACCTACCCCACCTTTAAAGTTCAGGGTAATCAACTGTTAAAAACTGTTCAAATGTATTTTTCAAGGAATGGATGTTTTCAAAGTAAATGGATAATCGTTTTTAATAATCGTGATATCAATTATTGACCAAAATAATCGTGATTATGATTTTTGCCATAATTGCACATAGTTAGTTGTATAAGCTTAAGGAGAAACAAGGGTTCTGATGAATAGCACTTTCTAAGTTATGTCTGTTTTAGGTATGGCGGGCAATACATTAGATTATTATACAAAGAGGTTTATTATTTTCAAGCAGTCTTCTTGCAACCCGGAATTGCAAAGAGTAGTTAAGTGGGTTACATACTGTATATATTTATTAGCTTTTGAGTATAGCATAAGTGATATTCAACCATATTGGTTGTATAGCACTAGCTCTAGTTTCCGGTGTCTGGTATGAATAGAGTATATTACCTTGATGTAGTCAGCATGACCAGGACAGTCCGTGTGAGCGTAATGTCTGTTGGCTGTGGTGTATTCTACATGAGAGGCGTTGATGGTGATTCCTCGGGCCTTCTCCTCGGGGGCATTGTCAATTTCTTCGTACTTTTTAAAGCTAGCTCCACCAGCTTCAGAGAGCACTGAGGACAGAAAAAGGACACCAAGGTCACATTTATGATTTTTTTTTGTACCACAGCACTAGAAAAATGTGGTCTTGACTTTTCGTAATTTGCAAATTTTGTCTGCAGATCAAAAGTTAGGATATCAATTATTCTACCTTTTGTGATGGCTGCAGTCAGGGTGGTCTTTCCGTGATCCACATGGCCAATTGTTCCAATGTTTACATGGGGCTTGTCTCTGGTGTATGTCTTCTTCACCTCTACAGCAAAGGTCCTCCGACAAAGGGGCACAGCAGACTAGAAGACACACACAGGTGTTATAAAATTGCAAAATAAAATGTTAAACAGGCGGTAGAAGTGTGTGAATTCACAGTCACTCACCAATCTAATGGAGCTGTGTAGGAGGCTCGGCGAAGTCAACTGTAGGGCTAAAGAGGGGATACAAATGTACATTTAGATTATCTCTGACTATTTGACCGGATCATGATTGTCATTGCATTCAAAAAGCAAATTGAAAAACACTCAAATATTGTTTTATAAGCATGTATGTTGGTACCTGTCTTTTTTTATAGTAATATCACTGTAGATTACATATAAAGTTACATCAGGTAGCTAAAATGAGCTCTGCAGCAGCTGACATCAAGCCATTAAACCCGATGAACCGGAGGACTCGACAGTGTCAATCTACTGCTTTTTATTCAAATAGTGGGTTCCACCAGCTTTATAGTGGTTTATAATATAGGTTTCAATCATAATTTCTCACTCAGTTGTCAGCCTCTGCTAGCTGTATCGTTAGCTAATACCGGATAACGTGACCTTGCGCTGCGATCCAAGAGTCATCAGCATCGCTTTTTTATCATGATAGATTAGGTTTCTACAAACGCAAAAAAGATACTATCTCAAGTGCAGAACAGATCAAGTTGATATAGACAAATACACTACCAAAAAGCATAAAGAGTAGGTTACTAGAAGATAATTAAATAATTTTACCGGAGAAACATGCGCGCAATCCCAGCAACGACGCCATCTTGGATAGCTAGACAAATCAAAGACGGTCAACCAAATCAAGAGAGTAATGGCCAGCTCCGAAACTGTCTTTCTTCTTCTTTCTCTTCTTCTTCTGTAAAGATTAGACGGACCAGGCGCTCAAAAGGTGTGTTGCTGCCCTCTGACGTTACTACTTGCTAGTTGTTAGATGATCATTTAAACAGTTGTGTATCTTTATACTCATTGTTTCCAGAGCAATTTGTATTTAGATGGGAATGCGAAGAAAACATGTTCTCGGGGCTTTAGCATGTACTAAACTACAGTTGTAATCACGGTATCTGCTGATCCATAAACCATACATTCATTGGCTCTAAAGTTGTCGTCTTTAGCAGCAGACAAAATAGCGTTTTATAAATGTGTATTCTGTAAAGCTATAGTCGAGTACTACTCTATAGCTACTAATAATGTTAGTACAAATCAAATAATTACTTATTAAATCCCTTTAATAGGAAAATGTGTCAAACTGAACGTTTTAGGACACCCGTATAGGAGATAGAGAGAAAATATGTTTGAAAAAGTGCTTTATTATTTCTTTGGTAATGTTTATTGAGATAATTGTATTTCCTACTGTGGAGCCAGCTGGGGTTTTGACAGAAACGTTTCTGGGTAATCTGAGTGGAGGTACTCCTCTCTTGGACTGATACTCTTTGAACGTCTTGCGTATTAACGTCACATATTTACCGTAAACACGGAAATATAGTGGAGTTTGGTATTCTGCCTCTCAAAAACAGCTTGAATTAAGCTTCATTTACGAAAAATGTAATTCTGAATGAATGACTTTTTTTTACAAATCGTAAAGACTTAAATGACTTTGGGCTGAAGAAAGTAGTTCGGCTAAAAAAGAACACAATTCAGCTTGCCCATTTGGTACACATTTTACAGTACAGCATGGCAGCCTCCTTACACTCGTGTTAGCTAGAATGTTCTGGCGCATTCGTATTACTGTGTTTAAAGGGGAGTCATCTTCTTTCTAAAACACCCCGTGAGTACATCCAACACGGTTTTAAAGGACGTTTGTAAAGGTAAAGTGTGTTAAGTTTAAGGCTTATGTATGGATGTAGTTTATAAAGCTAGTTGTGTAAAGCTCAACAACAGTGACTGCCCTCAATGTTAGCATCTTGAGAGTTAAATGGGTTTGCTCTATGTTTGGGCTTCTGTTCTGTACGTCATTTCTGAATCGAGTTGTGGCTGATATTATGATAGTATGGACGCAGATTTTTGTTTTGTTTGTACAGTAAATTCGTTTTTTATAGGGAAATGTAATATTCACAAAAAGAGATGGACTTACTCCAAAACACTATATGTTCTTGAATACATAAAGAAAAGAAAAAATATAAATATTTAATGTTTTTCTCCTCAGCTCCATAATGGCAGAAAACAGACAGCCAAAAAGATATCCCCAGAACCTAGGGGGGGTTTTGCAGCTGGCTGTGGATGCTGGTTCAGCTGCAGAGGGACCTTCTCCTATTGAGCCCATGTCAGAGGAGGTAAAGGCCTCTTACTATATGATGTTTGTGTTAACTATATATTTAAACCTTGAGAAGGGTTTGAACAGAAACCCTTACACCCCAACACCTTGCTAAGTCCAAGGTCAGACTTTCTAATTGGGTCAATTGTATTTAATTACCATAATTGTACCATACATATATTCACAAGGAGCAGCAAACACTGACTTTCAACCCCTTTAACCTTACACTTGAGTTTTTAATAGAATAAGGAAGGGAGAAAAACAATAACAACAAAGAAGAAGATGCATCAAAGAAAACTCAGAAACATTTTTGTACTTCTGTCTTTCTTTTTCCAGAGGAAACTGTGGCTGAAAGGTGCGCTCGCAGAAGTCTGCAAAGGACAGATGGATGAAGTGGAGCAAATTAAGAAGTGCTTGGAAGTCTTAAAACACGAGCGAGATGCTGAGAATGAGAGAGGAGAGGAGGAACGGGGCGAAGAAGATGAAGATGAGCGGGAATCAATCTTTGATATACTGTCAGAGTTGTGTGAGAATTTGGACAATGCTCGAGGTTTGTAATTAACACCATTAGAGTTTACATTTTCTTTAGATCAGATGTTGCAGCTACAAAGAAGTTATGAATGAAATACTATTGGTGTGCTCTATCCTGACTGTGTGTCTTCTTCCTGTTCTTCACAGACCTAATGACTCTTGGTGGACTGGATTTGAGCATCTCCCAGTATCTGTGTCATTCCCGAAGTGGACTGAGGTGGCGCGCTGCCCATCTCATCGCTTCCTGTGCCCAGAACATGCCGCAGGTGCAGATCCACTTGTTCAAACTCGGGGCGCTGCCGAAGCTGCTGCAGCTGACGGACTCAGACCCCAACCCCACCGTCAGAGTGAAGGCCCTTTACGCTGTGTCGTGTGAGTATCTAAGACAGAGAGGAGAATCCACTACAAGGCAGTTCATTCTCAAAACTGACTACTTAAAACTGGGAAATTATAAATTATAAAAAAGTTTAATTACAAGCCTTAATTGTGTTTCTGACAGAATTGAAAGATTAAAGCGATAAGTCTAGATTGTAATCGCTTGACTTTTAGGATACTTTAAATCAGCAAAGTATTGGGAACGTTGGGAAAATGCTTCATTTTATGTTAATTTTCATGTTTTTAAGGTTAGGAGTTATCTTAGTGATAGAAGTAATTAGTTACTACTAATCTGGTGTTACATTTACAAAATGATTGGTCTAAACCAAAAATCTTTTATTGGTTTAATAAAAATGTCTTTCTGGCATCCCACACTATCTTAGCTTTAAATGATCATTATCAAAAATAAAATATAATATCCAAAGCTTATTAAATAAACAATGAATACAGAAATGAAAAAAACTGTTACTTAATTTCGGCTTCATGAGGTTTCCTGTTTTTGTTACCTTGGAGGGCCTTGAATTTGAACACTAAAAAGCCGTACAAACCTTGAGGAAACAGTGCCCCTCACAACAACATTTTAACTGTATCCTGTTGGGACTTTAGGTCTGGTTCGAGAACAGGAGGAAGGACTGAAGGAGTTCTTGTCCAACGATGGTTACTCTGTGCTGATGCGAGGGATGCAGTCGGACAACGAGAAGCTCAGGACCAAGTCGGCATTTCTTCTGCTCAACCTGCTGATGGCTGAACCCGAACAGAAAGGTACAGAGAAGAGAGGCATGGGGACAGAATGGAGTCAAAATAAAACAAAGATCTTAAGGGGGAGATAGCGCTACAACAGTTTATGCCACATATAAGTAATGAATATCATCTGATGACTGTGAACCTGAATATTTATTCTAGTCATAAATCTGTAATAAGATTTTTGTTTAGGCTCCTATTCAAATATTTAAAGACGTATAAGAGCTTAGAACATTATGATAAAATATTTGATGGCTATCCCCAAGCTCTATTATGTTATATGTTCGGTTGAGTACCTTTTTTACCAAGATTTGGTATTAAATGTAATACTTTTGACCACTCAGGATTTGATAAACATGAACAAAAATCCCTCAAACCATTTCATCATGACCTTGATGAACCACATGTAAAAAACCTATGCAGTGTGACAAGCATTATAGCGCTGACTCTGTAAAGTAGTTTCTTTTAACTTTGGTCTGTCTATCTGTTTTCCTTCCTACAGACACAGTTGTCTCCATGGGAATGGTTCAGCAGCTGGTATCTGTTCTCCGCACACCTCACTCACCTGTCCATGAACACGTGCTCGGTGCCCTCTGCTGGTAAGAAACACTCTACCTTACTTCCTCACACTTTGACATTTATGCTTCACATTATTAACATACCCTCTGGTGTCTGTGTAGTCTGGTGGAAGAGTGTCCGAAGGGCCTCAAAGACTGCAGTACTCCTGCTCTGGGTCTGGAGGAGTTACTCAAACAGCGATTCAAGGAGCTCAAAGGAAAAGAAGAGAGTGAGGTAATATATCTGTCGTTGAGCCTAATTGAAAAATATATTTAAACTGAAACCATGTAGGAAGCTGAGCTAAAACAATGTCTTTACTTTTTATTTCATAAGAAAGGAGACATGGTTATAAGACAGTTGTTTTTTCTCATGTACAGAATTACTAATGCATGGCTGCATAATCTAGTGTTGAGGAAAAATGTCTGGTGCCTTGCTCAAGGGCACCACGGCAGGGCCCAGGAGGTGAACTGGGACCTCTCCAAGTAGCAGTCCACACTCCATACTTTAAGTCTGTTCGGGGACTTGAACCGGCGACCCTACAGCTCACAGTCCAAGCCCCTACTGACTGAGCCACTGCCGGACTATTACATTTATATATGTGAATAGGGAATTTTAGGACAATAAGGACAGAAATCTATATTGTATAAATTGGCTTAATAATTCTCCATGAACCAGTTTTTAAAGTCACTTTTTTTGTTTCTAACAGGAAGAACTTGAGTTCTGTGAGCGTTTGAGAGGCTTGTGTTTCCACGGGCCGCAGGCAGATGACAATGGGATGGATCGCTGAAGTCTAAATAACCTCACCGGTTTTTGATATCAGTGTCCAAAGATGTAACCGAACATTTATGATCGTGGCTTGTGGATGTTCAGTAACATCTTTGTCTTTTACCACAGATGTTGTCCATATTTTTGCATGTCACACAAAGGCTGGATTTTACTGTGTAAATAAGTGAAATGTATAGAAAATACCTTTTCGAGTCAGCTGTTCTTTTAGTCCAGTGTTTTCAGTTCTTCATATCCTAATTGTAATACCTAACAAAATGTCATTCACCATCACATGTAATAGGAAGTATTTTATGTTTGATGTGTTAATCAATCCCAAAGTGAGTTTAGTAACATGTGTAACTCATTTAATTGTTGTAAGTTAGGTTTGTTTGACGTCTTGCAGTTAAAGTGTTTCATGTCACAGTAGTTGATTGTCTCTTAAAACCTGACTCAGAATTATGAACATCATTGTCAACTTTTTTTTCACCATATTTATTTATTTATTATTTACAAAAGCCATTTGTGTATTTATACATATAATGGTTAGCTCACATTTGCCACCACAGGCACAACTTACACAAACACATGGATGTCACACAAAATTCAAATATTTTGGC